GAATTGGAGACGTTTTATCTTGGTAACTGCAGACAGCAAAGGTGTTCGAACAGGCCTTCGGCTTCCATATCCCATACAATGCAGTGTACGGCTAATTTGCCTACAAATGTCAGGTGGTCATAATAATCTGGCCACTCAATACCACTACTTACTTATCCACTCTTCTATAGATGAGCACTCAGGTTGCTTATATATATTTCCTGTTGTAAATAACACTGAAATAAACATTGGGGTGCATATATTCTTTCAAATTACTGTTTTCGGTTTCTTTAGATAAATCCCCAGAAGTGGAATCGCTGGGTCATAAGGAAGTTCCATTGTTTTGTTTTGTTAATCCTCACCCAAGGATTTTTCCCCCCAATGATTTTTAGAGAGAGAAAGGGAGGGAGGGAAAGGGAGAGAGAGAAACATCGATTGGTTGCCTCCTACATGTGCTCTGACTGTGCCCTTGTAACACAGGTATGTGCCCTTGACTGGAATGGAACTCGTGACCCTGCAGTACATGAGTTGATGCTCCAACTATTGAGCCACACTGACCAGGGAGGAAATTCCATTTTTTATTTTAAATTTTTGAGGAACTTCCACAAAGTTTTCCAAAATGGATGCACCACCAACAGTGCATGAGGGTTCCCTTTTTTCCACATCTTTGCCAACACTTTTTATTTGTTGATGATTTATTGATGATAGCCATTTTGACAAGTGTGACGTGATAGCTCATTGTGGTTTTAATTTGCATCTCTCTGATGATTAGTGACATTGAACATCTTTTCATATGTCTTTTGGGCATCTGATGTCCTCTTTGGAGAAGTGTCTATTCAGGTCCTTTGCCCATTTTCTGTGTTCTTTGTTTTGTTGTTGTTGTTGCTGAGTTGTATATATATTTTTTATATATTTTTATATTAATCCTTTATCAGATGTATCATTAGCAAATATTTTCTCCCATTCAGTAGATATTCTTTTCATTTTGTTGATTGTTTCCTATGCTTTACAAAACCTTTTTAATTTGATGAGTGCCATTTGCTTGTGTTTTCTTTTGTTTCCTTTGCCTGAGGAGATATATCAGAAAAAAATATTATTAAGAACAATGTCAGACAGTTTACTGCCTATGTTTTCTTCTAGGAGTTTTATGGTTTCCAGTCTTGCCCTTAAGTCTTTAAACCATTTTGAGTTTATTCTTGTATGTGGTATAAGAAGGTGGTCTAGTTTCATTTTTTATTTTTTGCATTTATCTGCCCAATTTTTCCAGCACCATTTATTGACCAGACTGTCTTTACCCCATTCTTGCCTCCTTTATTAATTGACCATATAGTCATAGGTTTATTTCTGGGCTCTCTATTCTGTTCCACTGGTGTGTGTTTTTAAGCCAGTACTATGCTGGTTTGATTATTATGGCCTTGAGGTAATGGTTTATATCAGGTAGTGTGATAGGTCTAACTTTGTTCTTCTTTCTAAAGATTGCTGAGGCTATTAAGGGTATTTTGTGGTTCCATAGAAATTGTTGGATTATTTGTTTTAGTTCCGTGAAATGTACCATTAGTATTTTTATACTAATTGCATTGAAACTATAGATTGATTTAGGTAGTATGAACATTTTAGTGATGTTAATTCTTCCTGAGTATGGCATATGCTTCCATTTATTTGTATGTTCTTCCATTTATTTCTTTAGTGTTTTATAATTTTCTGAGTATAGGTCTTTTATCTCTTTGGTTAAATTAATTCCTAGGTATTTTATTTTTGATGTAATTGTAAATGGTATTGTTTTCTTAGTTTCCCTTTCTGATATTTCATTATTGGTGTATAAAAATGCAACCAATCTTGAATATTTATTTTGTATCCTGCTACTTTACTGAATTCATTTATCAGTTCTTATAGTTTTTTTTTATGGAATCTTTAGGGTTTTCTATATATAGTATTCTGTCATCTGCAAATAATGACAGTTTTACTTCTTCATTTCCAATTTGAATGTGTTTTATTTTTTCTTCTAGTCTGATTGCTGTAGCTAGGACATCCAGTACTATGTTGAATATAAATGATGGCAGCAGACATTCCTGTTCTTGTTCTTAGTGGAAATGATTTTAGTTTTTGCCCATTGAATATGATGTTGGCTGTTGGTTTGTCATATATGGCCTTTATTATGTTGAGGTATGTTCCCTGTGTGCCTCTGGCACCCCTAAGCTTGCCTGGAATTCCTCAAAAGTTTTTGAAGGAAGACTATAATGCAGGTTCAGGCTGGTCACCACCAGCAGATCCCACAACCTTTTGTGAACTTGTTTGGGTGGGGCTTCAGGGAGTTGGCAGGGTTGAGCTAACATAGTTCTTCAGGCTGATGATGAGGTGAGGTTTTGGGGACCCAACACAGCAATAGTCGTACGAGTAAGGCATGCGGGGGGAAGTTGGCCCTAGCCCTAAAGCCACACAACTCAGTCTCTCCCTGTGTGTTTCTGGTACCTCCTGAGATTGCCCTGAATTCCTTGAGAGTTTTTTTTTAAGAAAGACTGTAATTCAGGCCCAGACTGGTTGCTGCCAGCAAAGCCCACAGCTGAGTGCGAGCTTGGCAGGGTGGTGCCTAAAGAATTTGGCAGGGTGGGATTTGTGTAGCTCTCTCTTGGCTAATGCCATATGGAGGGGAGTGCTTGACCCAGGATCAGATGGCATCTGTGTGCAGTGTGGGAGAGGGACTCAACACAGGGATATTGGTGGTTTTCCCTCTAGCCCTGTCCCTGAAACCACACAATTCAGTTTCTCCCTGCATGATGTCAGTATCCTATAAGTTGCCATCCCTCCACTAAGTGAGTGCCTGCAAGTGAGATTTTGTGCACTTCTTTTTTTCAGGGGGTGCCTGGGTTTCCAGCAGTCTCTTATCTCACCTGGGTGGACGGAATCCCCGCTAATTTTCAAAACCAGATGTTATGTGTACTGGTGCCCTGGACTGGGAAACCTGACATGGGGTTGAGACCTCTCGCTCCTCAGGGGGAAAACTCTGAAGCTGAGCTATCCTTCTAGATTCTCAACCATGGGTGCAGGAGCAGCCCTTTTTGTATCTCCACTCTTCCTACCAGTTTTGAAGTAGTTTCTTCTGTAAATCTTTAGTTATAAGACTTCTGTTCAGCTAGTCTTAAGATGGTTATCCAGGTTGATTGTTTTATAATCCTATATAATAAAGAGGTAATATGCAAATTGACCCTCATGCCCTCACAAAGATGGCTGCCTACGACCAGGCCGGCAGGGCGGTTAGTGAGGGACAACCAAATGACTGAACAAGCAGGCTGCGTGGGGCAACTAGGCCGGCAGGGGAGTTAGTGAGGGACGACCAAACGACTGAACAAACAGGCTGCGTGGGGTGACCAGGCCAGTGGGGGGGGGGCATTTAGGGGCGACCAGGCCGGTGGGGAGAGGCACTGGGGGCGACCAGGAGTTAGGTGACAATCAGGCTGGAAGGGGAGTGGTTAGGGGGCAATCAGGCTGGCAGGCAGAAGTGGTTAGGGGCAATCAGGCAGGCAGGCAGGCAAGCGGTTAAGAGCCAGCTGTCCCAGGATCGGGCCTAAACTGGCAGTTAGACATCCCCCAAGGGGTCCCGGATTAGAGAGGGTGCAGGCTGGGCTGAGAAGATCCCCCCGCTGCATGAATTTCATGTACCAGACCTCTAGTTTAATTATAATTTTGATGTGGCCCTGGGAGGAGGTGAGTCTAACTTCCATCTACTCCGCCATCTTGGATCAGTTCCCTGAGCCTTATTCTTTATGAGGTTATCCTTCCTTACTCCATCCTTTCACTTATCCAACTGTCCTTCTCCATTTCCTTGCCCTATTCTTTCCTAGGAAACTCAATCTGGAGGTCAAAATGTGGTATCTGTCAGTGAGGGTGAAATGATATTCAAGAAGAACACCAGAAAAATCTTCAGGCCTTCAGGTAGCTGTCTTCCTTTCATGGCCTTTTGAGATTGAAATTCTGAGTGCCCTTGATGGGTTCTTAGTATGGAGAATAGTATGTCTCTTTTAATTTGGTATTTTGGTCTTCCACTTAGAATATACTAAATCTGTGATTGATCTTCGCCCGGAAGATGTGGGGCATGAATGTGGCTCCTTGGGAGACAGAAGCAAATCTGTCCCTGGACTCAGTATGGATATGGTAAGTATCTTTCTATTTCACATGGTCACTAGGTGAAATTTTATATATCTAGAATAGACTTTAGTACCTGATAATCTCAACCAACCTGTTTAATTATTTAGGAAAAGGCAACATGAATCTTTATTTTCCCAAATTACTAAAGTAAATCTGGTTGCTGAATTGCTTAAAGAAAGACTGTCTTCACTGTCTCTTTTATCTTCTAGTACATTGTTTGATATATGGTTGGGTGCTCAAATAAATATTTATTTTTTATTAAAATGTAAATGGATGGCTGGATTGGGGCAGTCAAATGGGAAAGAGATATTCTTTTTTTTTAAATATATATTTTTATTGCTTAAATTATTACAAAGAGTATTACATGTTTCTCCCTTTTTTCCCCCGCACTTG